GGGTCAAACCTATGACCGTTTTGGCCAAAAACGGTCTTCGAATCAGTGACCGCTTTTATCCACCTAGGGTCAAACTAAGAGGAGATCAGATTTTGCCGAGCTCATGGCTTTAGGGAAATAATCCTGTTTGCACAGTTACGTTCTTTTCCAAGTTTTAAGTTAATTATAGGGACCAAGACCTATCTACATAACAGAAGCTTACAGCCAGCCTTAGACTGCTAGCAGTCCCTTTTCAGGCAGTCGTGAAGTAATATGTATTAAAACTAAGACAAGTACTTCATCACCGCTGATGAAGCACGACGCCCGAGTTTTTGACATGCAAATGCAAATGCAGATGTTTGACCTCAGATTAAAGAAAATTTTCGGATGGAAAGTTGGTGGTGTTTTATCTGGTGTTTCATTAGGTATCAAGATTCATTCACCTAACCCAAATGGTCGTCATTTATTGGCTTTTGACTACATGAATATTTAATGAGTTTGAGAATGCCAAATGAATGGCGAGAGAAACTGAACGAACCGAAAGGAAAGCTGAGTAGGGGAAAGGTTGGTTGGAATTCTTTTCTTTTCTTTTCTTTTTCCCCCCTTTTTTTACGACGTTTGCTCGCTTGATTCACTTGCCCGCGCAACAAACCTGAGTAACCGCTAGCATTCTATAACACTCTTGAAACCTTACCACGATCAACAGCCTCAAACACAGCATCGAAAAAAACGTCGCCAACCAAATACTCCTGGCGTGAATCATATTGAACCAAAAGGTGACGGCCACTGGAGAAAACATTTAAGTTGTAGTCTTTCCCACAAAACTTCTTCAATAAGTTGCTTGATGAACTTTTACCATCAAAGATCTTAAGAGAAGAACTGCCACAACTGTAACCCAGGCGAAATGCCTTGATTCTCAATCTCACAAGGTATCCCTCGGGTACTGTTATCACCCAAGTACACATGATCTTAGTCGGGTAGTCCTCCGGGTAGAGCGGCGAGAAGAGGCTTCCTGATGAACTCGTCAGGGGTATGATGTTGTTTTGACCTGGATTTTTGCACGCTCCCATGGCCGCTGAAAATTGAATGACAGTAGAATTCATTAGGCTCTGTTCACACTAGCTCTTATACATTCATACTCCGATTTTTCTGAGGGGTTGGGGCGATTGTACACATGCTGCGTCTACACATATAAGCGGTTTAACGCGACAATTTTCAGTTGATCGTTTTTTCGTGTACAGACGCAAATTTGCGCAATTTTTCAATGACAAATTTCGTTCGCGGCAAAACTGGCTAACAAAGCACGCGAAACGTTGTTTGTGTTCACGACTTGTCGTACGAATAATGTAACATTATCCGGCAGTGTTGATATTATTTTTTGTGGTCTCTCACGGTATCCATCTACTTACGGTCAGCTGTAAACTCTTAGCAGTAAGCATTAGATCCCGTCGACCAATACTCCTTTAGACAATACTGTAGTCTTAAAGCATGATGTGTTAGAGGTTATTACTTTTAGTCGTATATTTTATTTTATCTTATTTAGTTCTTTCTACAGCGTAATACTAAACAATTATTGGATGAGGTTTTTGTGATATCCGGAATAATCAAGGTCAACATAGGTTTTATCAGCCGAGCCGAAGGCCAGGCTGATAACATTACCGAGACCTTGATTATTCCGGATATTACAAAAACTGAATCCAATAATTGTTTTATTATACATTGTTTGGAAATAAATAACGACAAATACACCGTCGCACGGGACCGATTTGACATTGCACTTGGAAATTATGCACTGCGAGTGCAACCTACAGATTAGTCAGTTATCTTCTAGCAGATAATCAACTAATCAGTAGGTTGTGCATATTTCCAAAATTTACTGTAGGCTCTTAACCAATGAGAGGATAGATGTGAGTAATACTTACGGTTAGCGAGGACCTTGTAGCTTGCATGGAATCCTGGATACATTTTAGACATGTCAGCAACAAATTTTACGAACACATTTGATTGATTGGACACAATAACTGGAGGAAGGGAAGAACCACAGAATCTGCCAATTAACTCCGAACGCCATTCATAATTGTCTTTGCTCTGCCTAATTTCTACATAGTCGCCTTCACAGTTTTTGGATTGTTGTAGATTAAATGAATAAAATGTTAACTGAATGATAAATCCAACCGGGCGATTAATATACCAGGAACACTTGGCGTTATTAGGGTAATGGAGAGGATATGAAAAGCTGGCAAATTCTCCCTGATCGTCTTCCAGAAAACGTTTTTCTCCTAAACAAGAATAGTCTGCAGGTCGCTCCTTGATAGTTTCATACGTAGCTAAGAATCCATTGTAATAGGCCTTGCGCCGAGAATTATACTCAACAAGCAAACTGTTCCCCTTGGAGAACACAACTTCCTCGAAGTATTTGTTGCAGAATTTTCCAAGTGATATGCGAGTAGAATTTGTCGCATCGAAAACGTTTACATAATTCTCTTTACATTCTCCATAATTTTTCCAAAATGTTAACTTGATAAACTGCCCGATTGGTACTGTGATATTCCAAGTGCAGGTACCCTTTCCTGGAAATGAGGGGAAGCCAGGGGTCGAGAAAGTCAGTCCGTCACCATCCACTTGAACAATGCTGTCTTGTCTTGGGTCGCAAGTTCCTGATATAACTGTACATAAAAAATCCAAACATGTTTTTGCAATTTATAAAGCAAGTTTCATTAACTTCAGTTAGCAATTTCTGGTTGTTCCAGCTCATGCCCACTCTGTGTCAAGCAACTCTAAGCTTTTGAGAGAGTGTAGCATTGTCTGACAAAGAGAAACAGAAAGAAGAACTAGACTTTCGCCTAGTTAGCTCAGAAAGCCGGTAAAATGCCGCCATGCCAAGCGGGAGCTAGATGTATCAGAAACAATTATTGTCTACACCTGCCCCACAATGCAGCAGTGATTCTCACAATGATGTTCATTGAGTACATATTTCAAGAATCCAATACAGGATTAAAATTTTCATCAAATTTTCCTCGGATCTGTTTTTCGCATTCGAAAGAAATCAAAAGTCCCAGGGTTCTCATTAAGTGTTAAAGTAGACAGCTATGATGTAAAAGCAGGTGGCTTGGTAACTTGAATCGCCAGCCCTCTGGTCATCTTTTGCCATCAGTTTTGCCATTGCGTGCATTTCTGGACATCAGTGGCAATTTCAGGCTTTCACTCTCACTTAACCCTTTTTTTTTTCCCAAAAAGTAGACGGCTCAAACCTCCCAGTAGCCGGTTTTTTAACCGGCTGCAAGCACTTAATGAGAACCCTGAAGTCCAGCATCAATTTTTGCATTGCAAAAGTTTACTAGGTGTTCATCTTTGGGATCCGCGCCGAATATCACGCACAGATCACGAATCGCAAAAATCTGGTTTAAACTTGAATCCGCTCGGAACACTGATTCTTTAGACCTTAATTTTAGAAAAGAAAAGCAATCCGTTCCTGGATTGAAGAATCCGGATTTTGAGATAGATCTCCCAAAGAAACGCACCCTTAGTTTGGAGAAAAATTCAATAAAACCTTGCATCCCGGCTCACCATTAAAGTGATCCCAGCAATGCCATTCTCCCCTTAGTACTGAATGGGTAAAGCTTCACGATCTCTTGCATAAAGAGAGCATCCCTCTCCAGACACACACAAATTAATTCACGAGTATCCATTGTCCTCTCTGTCCCTCCCTCCCCACCCCCATCCCCCCCCACCCCCGCTTTTAGCAGAAAATTTAAATAAGCACCAGGGCTATTATTCGAGTAAATACGGTATGTAATCAAACTGCTCATCAATGCTTACACCCTTGAAGATAATACCTGTAATACCTGTAGCATATACAAACTCGGTTCTAATGTACTTGTAATTCCACTGGTGAATTTCCAAGCTCGAAACGTTAGGAAAGAGATTGCTTATAATCACTTTATTTATTTTTATTCTACTATTTTGCCACACAGAATAAATTACAAGTAGAATAAAACGGTAATAAATAGGTTAATTAATATTAAATTTAAAATGAGCATACAACTTGAACGGGTGTCTGTGGCGGGGAAATCTCCGAGAAGCCGAGCTTATGAGGAATAGAGATTTGCCCCCAGCTAGGCGCAAGTTTAAAAATAAAGAAAAAAGACGTGTATTTTAAGTATATAAGTGTGTTTAGAGAAAAATAAGGTGTTAAGATATTTAGGTCGTATCTTGTCTGACCCTTAAAAATGGTTTGATCACACGCTTGAATATATTAAAAGTCGGGGCGTTTTTGATGTTGTTCGGTAATGAATTCCATATTCTAGGACCTTGAAACAGGATCGGATTTTTTTTAAATATTTGTTCTACAGGTGTGGGGTCGTTAAATTCAGAGTATCTTGTTGAATATTGATGAATCTGATTTCCAGTTTGAAAGATTTGGGTAAAAGCAATGGGTAAAGCGTCATGATGATATAGGTACATGAAAGAACTTACTTGGAGCGAGTAGATACTAAAAACATCAAGAATTTTCAAATTCGCAAAACGAGGTTTACTTGAAGCCTTGTAGTCAGCCTTAGAGATCGCCCGGACTGCTCTTTTCTGGAGTAGGTAAATTCGTTGCAGGTTGGTGACATAAGAAGAGGCCCAAATTAAATTGCAGTAGGTAAGATATGGATAAATAAGCGCACAGTATAGTGTAAGAAAAGATTTTGAGTGCAAATAGTTTTAGCTTTATAAAGTAACCCGACAGATTTAGAAATCTTAGCCGCAATAAAATTAACATGAGTTTTCCGCGTAAGGTGCTGATCAATATAAACTCCGAGGAACTTAATATTATGTACTTGTTCAAGTACATTATTTCTATAATAATTAACACCTGTCTTGTGATAGGTAACGTTTTTTGCCTTGGTCTGAAAATCATTAGTTTTGTTTTCTTAACTTTGATTGATAACTTATTGGCTTTTAGCCAAGTTGAAACATTGTGGAGTTGGTCGTTAAGATGGAGGGGAGGATATCCAGGTCACTATTTTCAAAAAATATACTGGTGTCATCAGCAAATAATATAAATTCGAGTTCATTAGAACTAGAGCAGGCTGGGAGAACATTGATATAAATAATAAATAGAGGGGCCCTAGTATAGAGCCTTGCGGTACGCCACAAATTTGTCTTAAAGCATCGGATTTAGAATCGTCAATTTAGACATATTACATTCTCTTACGAAAATAGTCAGTTATCCCGGCATTGATGGGCTGTCCCAGTGATGCCACATGCTTCCAATTTTGATAGTAGTATTTCATGATCCAGGGTATTAAAGGCTTTAGATAAGTCAAGAAATATTCCGGCTGAATATTTTTGGCAGTCAACGGCGTTAGCAGCTTTGTTCACAGCATTAATCAAAGCGGGGGAAGTAGAGTAGCCAGGACGAAAACAGAATTGATGTTTAAATAATATGTCATTATCGACTAAGAATTGAGATATGCGATTATAAACAGCTCTTTCGCGATTATAAACAGCTCTTCCGAAAACTCACGGCACTTCAGCTCATGCTTTACTTTTTAATGAACATAATTTTTGCGTTATTTGCTTGAATTGCGGTCTTTAAGCGCCCGAAAGTCGATTTGCCCGATGGCGTTTGCCAGGACTTAAGTCGATTCGCACGACGACATACAACACTCTACAACATGATGGTTCTCCGATATGTTATTTTAGTTAACCGTGGATTCCACATGTGCAGTCACTGTCTTTCCACGAATATTCCTTTTTTCAGCCTTAACGAACGACAAATACACATCGGGTGAATCGACTTTCTCTGGGCAAACTGCTATTGGGCGAATCAACCTTGGGGCGAAACGACCTGAAACCATTTGTTTGATCATACAGATAATACATGTAGCTATCCACTGACAAACGTGAAAATATGTCAGTTTCTACGTAGGTTTCACTTATACTGTCCCCTTGACAGTGGTCCTTTGATTGAGTAGGGTTCTTACCTGAAGGAACTGATGTAAAATTTGCAACAAATCCTGGGCCACTTGTACCATAAAAACTGAAGACATTGATGCTCAGCTCGTTACCCATGGAGAAAACTGTAAACGAAGCTTTTTGACCTGAAAGCCTGATCGACTGATCTAAATTCCACCCAGGTAGAGCATCCGCAATTGTGACATAGTCATACTTGGCCAAGCTAAAGGAGATAAAATCAACTCGTACCACATTTCCCGCAGGTGCAAGAATCTTCCATGAACATTCACCGATCAGGCTATAGTTATAGCCCTGTGGAAATCCTGGGGTAGTGATGGTACCAGAGGAATCTTTGAGAATAATACCCATGTTTTCTTCATAAGAGTTTCCAGGGGAACAAGAGCGAACTGCGAAGAGATAAACAGTAGAATCTCCCGTAAGCGACCACCCAAAATAGTTTAGTGACCGCTTTAGGGCTCTTGGAGAGTTGCGGTGACGAGACAAAAGTGAGTTTATTCCACAGGACGGAAGGAAGAAGAGTGGGGCTAAACACTTGTTTGTGATAAGCGTGACAGGGCTATTACTTGCTTGCTCAAGTTCATTCCCAGGGTTCTCTTCTACCCGTCCCTACGGAGCGAGAGATAAGAGAGAGAACCTGGGAACGAGGTTGTTGCGTGTTTTGTCGTGATCTTCACTTAAGGTGGCTGAACACAGTTCTGGCAGTTTGTGAGTATTTGTCATTTGCAAAATCATGGCAAGTTTAAGGTTGCAGCTCGAAAGCTGAAACTTGGCAAGTGAAAATATACTAATGAAAGATTTTGATTGACAGGTAATATGTGACGTTTTTTAGTTTCCATGGCAACATGAACGACTGAATACAACCTTAAAATTTCACTTTTGCTCAGTTTACATAAAATTCGCTCATTAGATTTTCGTGTAAAGTTGTACACACCAGCTTACTATAATTAATCATTACCATTTGAAACTTATCTGACGGGTTTCTACATTATCAATAATATAATTGTACTGTAATTATTAAATGTCACAAAATTTGTCTGTTCAACATCCATTTTAAAGTCCTTATTATTTAAAATAAGATAAAAGTAAAAATTCTGCCAAATATCACAAAATTTTAATGAGAAGATTTTGCTTTTTTCGCTGCCATGTTTGTTTGTCTAATTTAAAACACGCGCGTCACGCGAGTTACCGCTGACCACCCGCAAAAACTGTGTTCAGCCATTTTAACACCTATGTTTTCCGGTCCTTAACAAAAAAATCTGTGTAAAGGAAAGGGAAGTTTGACGAAAAGTTGCCTCAAACAAAATTATTGTCACGCTTGTCACACAAGATTTGCCGTCTTTTTTCCTTTCCCGTCATGTTGCGTAAGTTGACTAAAAACAGCCGCAAGGGAGACTGGCGAGGTGGTCGATTACGAGAAGAGGTCCCGACACATTTACTTTTTGGCAGACAATTTGTTGCAGGCCATTTGTCAGTTACTTCCGTGTTGTCACTGAATGTAATCGTACCCAGATCTCTTGCCGACTAAACTGAGTATAACGGCGCGCTGCAAAGCAGGGTTTTATTCAATTTGTTACCCATAAATTGGTAACACCTGGCCAAAGAGAAGGACAATAGAGTAACGGCGGGATTTGGGAAAAACTTGAGAATATGTCCTTTGGGCAAGGGGCTCTTATATTTTGCCTGCCAGGCACCACTTCTTGCTCGTCTTATATTAACCCTTTAGGTCCCAATAGTGACCAACATCAATTTTCTCCTAACAATATCTCTATGTTGCCACGAGAAATTGTTATGAGACTTAATAAAATGATCACTAAAGAGAAAATGCCTTGATCTGTCATCAAAGTCTCTCAACTAACTCTTTGAATAAATGTATGAAGATCAGTATGGAGAAATTATACGTAGATATTGGGGCTTAAAGGGTTAATGATTTTGTTAGTGGATGACTTGCTGGACCCTTGCCCATTGGGTAAGTACATGTAAAGCTTTAACCCTTTAAAACCTAACATCAAAATTCAAATTCTCATTTGCTATCCCTATACGTTTTCAACAGAAGTAGTGGGGAGAATTTGTTGGAGTATCAATTACATTCATCTTGTGTGATCATGTCCTTAATTCTCATGACCACTCTGTTTTATAAAGCAGTGATATTACAATGAGAAATTTGACGCTGATCACTCTTAGGGCTTAAAGGGTTAAACATTTCTTGCTCAGCAATAATATCTACTTGTCCTGCCCAACTAACAGACAGGACTGAGTTAAGATAACCCAGGGTTAGTGTGAAATTTGAATTCAGATATAAAAGCTTAAAAAGCACATTCAGTTTAATTCCTTTGGTCTGCAATTTGGTTATTGGATGCTCTAAAAGGAATAGGGAAAATTATCTGAGAAAATGCTTTTAAACCAAAGAAAAAGAAGCCCAGATTAAAATTTAACGCTGGGTTAGTGCTAATCGGCCTTCGAACAACTGGGACCAGGACCTTTTTTGATGCCCTAAAGGGAACAAAGCAATGGCAGTGCTTGAAAACAGACCTCAATGTTTTGTTTGAACCACTTTGTCGTAATGCTTCCTAAATAAAAGAGTCCGAGGGTGCTTACCATTTACTTGGAAAAACTGGAAATTCCAGGTGGAAAGTCAAATGGTTTGCACCATTCCGTTCCTGGAAAGCTTCCGAAAATATGGGATGTGGTTTGCGATGAAGAAACTTTCTACTATTTGTAGTCTGCTCAGCTGATTAGGATATAGTTTGAAGCAGTTCGTCTTCCCACCAAGTCAAATTCTATAGTTTTATGTTTATGCACAGAATAAAAGAATAAAAAAAAACCTTCTCAGACTCCTCTCCCACTCCCGCCTACCTCCATTTTTTGTTTTCATGCAATAGCTCAAACAGAAATGCTTGCTATGTAAGTTAGTGATCAGAACTGATTAGGTCACTAGCTACTCAATCCACTACAGAACTGAAAGCAGAGAATTGTCTCTTTGATGTGGTAACAAAAAATTTATTATGTTTTAACAATGATATTTTGATTAATTACCACCAGTAATCTTACCTGGCTGAAGAGATGAGTACTCAATAGTTAATTCATCATCTGTGTTGCCACCACTCTTGAACGCAACATACACAGATCGAAACTTAGAATAGAGGAGCCTATACTGGTAACGATCAAGGCCACGATCGGGAGTATGAAATGGAATACGAGATAAACTTGAACCATTGACATCATAAAACTCAATACTGTCCCCTAAAGAGAGTGGTGAATAGATTGCCGACAGGAGGTCAAGAAACACGACGTTATTCTCAGGACCTGTGATGTACCATCCACAAGTCCTATTTGTTAGAATAGTAAAGTTGCCTCGTGCAGGTAATGTTGGAGCTACCAAGGTTATATTCTGAGAACAATCTGAAAATAAACAACACAATATTATTGTGATGCTATTAATTTCATCTAACACTCATGTGTCAAGAGCAGGGTGCAAGGAAAGTCAGTTTTACAACTCGCCTGTGGCTAGCATCATGTACAATTATAGCTCAAAAGTCATTTAACTATAGCCCCAAAATTTTTTTGATGAACAGGAATGATTACCATTTTTTTTTTGTAATTTGAATTCCCCAAAGAACTTCACTTGCCCATCAGACAGGTTAGGAACAGAATCACTAGCCCAATACTGTGTAGGTACAAAGTCCACTGGCCCCAGGCAACCAGACTACTTTCTTTGCACACTGAAATTATCAACACAAACTAGCAAATGCAACCCTTGTTAAATAAATTTAAATAAAGAGAATGTGAATGGCAGAAACTGGCAAGTTGGGAGGGGGGGAGAGGAAACCAGCCAATAAAATATTAGGGTGGGGTGGGGGCAGAAGAGAATTGTGAAACTGGGGAGGGAGGGGTTTGAAAGCTGGCCCTTAAATTGGAAGCAAAGTACCTGTTTGGTTGGAGTGAATTTGAACACAGTCCCCTTGCTGGGATGGGATCATGTACTGGGGAGTCAGGATTGGTATCATCATACATGTGGGTTTACCAATGTTTTTGGATCAATAGCAAAACTTGTGTAAACCTCTTGGTGACCAATCATAACCTTGCTAACTCTTCCAATTAATTAAATTTATTAATTTTATTTACAAATTATACAGTGAAAGCTCCCCTTGTGACCACGCTCATAAGCGACCAGCTTAAGTTAAAACCACAAGTTTTTGTGAAACTCCATTTGAGCTGTGACTTAAACTTTGTGATGAAAAGTTCTCATAACTGGACTGTTCTCATAAGCAACTGCTCCCCTAAGTGACAGCACACACACTTTTGGGATTACCCAACCGGACTTTTCCTTTGTTTTAAGCTCTCATGAGCCACCACTCAGAGTTTCATTCACATAAATCTACACTTTTATGAAACTGCACATTCTCTGAGGGGCGCATTCTCGTAAGCGACCTAGTTCTAGTTACGACCACTTTTCTGAGGTGTTTGCTTATGGGGGCTTCAACTGTAATGAGAAATGTTATATTTTTGTCTTGTCATGACTGGGATTTCTGAAAACATCCCAGCAACTTCTGAAGATTTCCAACAATTTTGTGAACGACTTCTGAATGTTGCTGAAAATGTCCGAAGAATGTTCCAGTGCTCTTTAAGCACCTCCGAAGCTATTTAAAAGGGACAAATTAAAAATATCTTAGCACGCTTTAAAACACTAAGGTTACAAATTTGTACCTTCGGCAGCCAATGCTTTGATCAGCAAACAGAGTCCTAAAAATAGAGGACAAAAGAAAGACACTTGTTTTACACACTACTCCAATAGCAAACTGGCACACTAAAAAAGGTTATTCAACAAATAACTTTGATCTTTTTCCATTCTTCCCCGAAGAATAAAAAAAAGCATTCACCTGGTTACAGTTCGATGAGTTTAAGCAAACAATGTTTTGGGGTTAGTTAAATCCAAAAAATTACTTTTGAGCCCTGTCCCTGATTCAGACGTCCCTTTCAGGAGTATGCGACTTGAGGGGATGGCTAAAGCTATTCAAATGTGTCATCCCAAAAGAAAAAGAGATATTGCATAATCTGGACAAAATAATGATCATTTGAAGGTCATTAGAAATATTCCAATGATTATTTTAATCCTGGTTATTCCTTTGTGATCAATTGATGCCATACATACTCAGAGCAAAACACTCTAAGGGTGCATTTCTTTACTAAAATCCAAGATCAGATGAAAAATCTGGATCATAAGGATTTTTCGTTAAGAAAAGAAGCAATGATCCAAGTTCAAGAAAGGATTATTTTTCAACAATTTCCATAGAAATGACCCACAATACTGAGGGTATCCCGGGCAAAGAATAACACGGCTGCTGACAATGTTGAAAGTTTGCTGATAAGCAGTGTGATCAAACAAC